CTTGGGTAGATTGTAGGTTGAAGAGAGCAAACTGAGGTAATTGTAATGTTGTATCGTTAACTGAAAACGTGTTTCTGGTAATAAAATAAATTAAAAATGTATACATTTGTTGGAAATGTACGATTCAATGTAATTAATGCGTAATAATAAGACTAATTAATCAAATGATGGAAAAAAACTCGACCAGTGACTCCGAACGCACAAGACCTTATATTATTAATTCAGCTGTGAAGTCAGAAAACTAGTTCACTGGTTCCAATTAGTTTCCCAAAGGAGTTTCCATTTGTCCCAAAGGAGTGCGAAAAACAGTGTAGGCTACTTAATTATTAGCACTCAATCGCAGAACATTGAAGAAATACATTATTTCTCTTAAAAGGATAGAAATATTGGTTATCAAGCTGATACGTTGTAAACAGATATCCACATTATCCTATTCTACATAGGGTCATTATTCAATTATTTTAATTATGTGATGATATATCGTCGATGCAGAAGACAAGTGACCGATCTCAAAAATCTTTATTTTTTAATTAGTTAAAAAGGCTGCATATTTTTACTAGTACAAATTCCGTAAAGGATGTTTCACAACGCAGTCGAGGTACGAGTAAAATATGTTATTCTTCGCCCAGATGCGTATTCAACGACCCCGCCCACATTAACACCATTCATATGAAATAAGAAAATGTTTCAGAAGTGCCTCTTTTCTTGTTTGTTGACATTACTGATACGAAGGATAACGTTGACAATTCACAGTGTGCCAACTGGTTGTATTATGGCATTTTACAATTTTTTTCTGTTTTAGATACTTTACCTTCTATCCATTACGCAAAGAAAATTCGACTGCATCAGAACAGCTTTCCTCTCTCTAGCTGGAGCAAGGCCCAGAACGAAAAAAGTTCGCACGAGGGGAAGTATGTAACCAGGAAGACGAGCAGCAGCACAAGCGCCAAGGGCAGAGGAGAATTAAGAGAATAGCGGGGCGATGAAGTGGGCGGGGAGGAGTTTGCAACTGCAAGCGGAGGGTGAGGCAGAGGGTGGGGAAGGAGTGGGAAGGGGTGGCAAGGGGAGGGGCCTGCGCCGCCGCATCTGGGGCAGCGAGGGCCGCATTCCTTGGCGGTCGCCCTCCGCCTCCCCGCGATCTTAATCTCCAGGCGCGGCAGTATCCTCGAAACTCTCGGAAACTCCATTTCAATACGCAATAAAGAACTCGAAACAATATACAAAGAAGGAATACATCACGATGAAAACATTCCGAACCCTACAATTTAAACTTTGTGGCTGCGAGGGGAAGGGGAACCTGCTCCTCGCGCGGGCGGCAAGGAGAAGCGATGCGGGCGCCGGATAGTCTCGCCTCGCGCCCCTCATAGCCATGATTCCCTGCTGCGGGCGAGCGGCCGGGCGCGCGGGAGGTGCGGGGGCGCCCTCCTGTAATGCAGCGCCTGCGACTTCCGTCTCAAGCCCACCACCGCGCCCACTCGCTAACGCCGCTCGCCCCGGTTCCCGCCGTACACAAACAGAACGTTTTTGCGACAGCCCCCCCGCCTCACCCCTGCCCCCCCACCCCTGCTTCCCTGATAGCGTGACGTCCTCACCGCTGAAAGTGTAAAAAAACAACGCCACCTCTCAAAGTGTCAGTGCGCCACACATTTCAAACGACGCCCACGGCAAAGACCCAGTATGCGGGTTATATGAGTTCAACACAAAAGTTAAATTACCTCAAAATATCCTGATTACAAGCATCTGTGTGTTACCTAAGCCCGCCAAATAAAAATCTACACACATACTTATGACTATAGGCGTTTGTGCATTGGTGTGGTTTTTTTTTTTGCATTACGTGGATTATCCCACCAGCAGCAGGCCAAACCAACTTTCAGATCCTATGACCTAGAGCTTGGGTCCAACAAACCCTTTCTCGACGCAAAATGTCGCATTTCGTCGGTGAATAGGTGTCCGTCTAATTTTCTCATTTTTAACTGACGTATCAACAATCTTATTTTTGATTTACGTGAATGATGATTAAAACTTGATACCCACAAATATACTCGATGAGATTTTACTGAAGCTCAAGCTTCTTCGTCATAGAAGTAATCTTGAAGAGCACAGATTATTCACCCATGGCTTCGTAAAATTAAGTTTTTTCAATGTTCAGAACTTTTTAAGACTTCTAGGGAGTATCACGAAACAAAGATTCTCGCACATAAATGTTTCTTTATTTCTGAACAACTTCGGGTTTGTTTTAAAGAAATACTTATCAGCAATAAGAGCCATAGTTTAGTAAAGTATCGATCATTTGAAAATGGCAGGTCGAGTTCTTTCACAAGTCGTTTGGTCTACTTGCATTCGCCCTAGAGTCGATAACACTGGCGAGGAGTGAACTTAAAAGATTAAACGCTACAAGCAAAAACGAGATATTGCTTACTTTCAACTCACAAGAAATTATTACGTGTCTAATTGACGTCAATTCGGAAATAACCGATGCATTCCTCCCGCTTGCAGCTAAAATGGACAATAATTTAAAATAAATTACAGACCCTCAGTTCAGCTACACGAGCACCGCGTCGCACGAAGTAATCACAAGCTCTAATGTCCAGACCGAAAAACGCCGGGTCCTCCGGGTGGGGGAGTAGCTCCACGGTGTCACGCGCTGGAAAACGCGTCCAAAAAACTCTATGACCCAGACGCGTAAACTCATTTGTCTGTAAGTACAGGGAATGCTCGTGGTACTCAAGTCCTACTCTTGAATATAGACCGCCAACACACTTTATTTTTTTACCTTAAATTTTAGAATCTCCTTCTATTTAGAAAAATACAGATATTTCAAAATATTTATTACTCGAATCATTTTATACGGTTGAAGAATGAAATGCAGTTTCACTCGGTCGCTCTGAAAGCATGTGCTGCATGTTGCATCTGAAGACAAAAATTTCAAAACAAATAATTTCGAATAAATTTATAAATATATTTTAATAATTTTTTCGTAGGATAAATTATTCTGCACTAAGAAAATAGGTATTTCATAATATACTAACATAACAAAATATTAAATACCTTTTTGTTTACTTTTAACAGAAAATCAAAATCAATGTAATTTTTGGAAATGAGTTAAAATTAATGATGATTTGGTCAATACGTAGTATGTTGTTACGCCCTTACATAATTATGAAAAAATTAAATTCTAAAAACCATCCTTATCAAACTTTAAAATCGCTCAATCAGAGAAGAACCCAAAGATGGATAAATGTGACTGAGGTAATTGTTGTAGCAAATATCCCAAGTGGAGGGGAGGTTTGGGATCCGGCGGGACGCCCCCACCTGCTCATCGCCCTCACAAGGGAGGTCGCCGCGGCGAAGATCCAACGGCGACGCCCCGAGACCCGACCGCTTGTCTCCAGGTCCCAGGGGGAGAGGCAAGAATTATGAACGCAGGTGACATTCTTCGGTTTCGAAATAAATCGTTCGCTGGGGTGCTTTTGTGAAAGCATTCGGAAAAGATGTCTTTCAATGGCTTCTCTGATACCTTTTATGCTCACAGGTAATACGTTGCACACAACCAAGAATAAAGGTATGTTTTCGAATTATACGACCACAAAGATTTTGCACATTTGCGTAACATTTTTATAGAGCCAAAAAACACACTCAACAACCACATAACCTGGCGCGAAATTCCACGGCTATTTTCATGATAACACATGAAGACCCCCTCTCGAGGGTCTGCAGTTATTCTCTCCTCGTACATTTAGCACTACGAAAATACTCCAGCTTGACATGGGCTGACAAGTGTCGAACTAGTACCACCAATGCGATCACTTACCGATGGTTCCGTTCCCCGAATTCCGACCTTAGTCGGTCACCACCCAAGCGGCTCAATCTTCGGAGCCACCCTACCTCTATAAGGGAGTATTGTGTGGCGTCGTTAACACGAGGGCCAGAACCGTTAGGTCGGTGAAAGTACGCTGCGGGGGAGGAAGGGGTTGAGCCTGAACATCCGGGAGTTTGCGCTCGAGCGGTTGACTCAGGTAGTGCCGCAGAGCCAAAAATACCGGAGGCTGTAAACTCCGAGGATGCTGCCGGCGAGCCTCGTTTACGGATGCAGGCAGCCAACCCTAAGAATCCTGTGAGGGGGCGTAAACCAAGGCTGGCCTGCGAGCCTCGCGCCAGCCGGCGAGCCTATCTATGGAACAGTGGTGGGGGTGTCAGCCTCAACTATTTAACGCGGCGCCATCTGCGCCCGCGTTCTCATTCAGTTTGCATCGGGAAGCTTGTACGTGTGTACAAGGGGTGTAGGAGTGTGGGCGAGATGTCCGGAGAGTAAGGGCCAGACAATCTCGCGTGCTGTAGGCACACGGTCGCCACGAACGGGTTAAATTTTGGCGTCAGGCCATGTGACGGTAATTGCCACGGGACGGGGGTCCGACACCGCGCATCACGCGTGGCTTGTGTTTTCTGCGGTAAAGCAGTGTTCTGAAAGGAAAAGGTTGCCGGAGTGTTTTAATATTAGGAATTCATTGTAACTTGTACATAATCTTTGAATATATTATTTTTCTTTTGTTATTGAAATTTATTTCTTATTTCACTACGTCACAATTGTAACCTCTTGTAACCTCTCGATCTTGTGCACCACGAGTCACGCGAAATACGTTAGAAATTTAACGACGCAACTTACGCGTAAGATATTATTATAGATTCACATTACAGCAGTGGGCTGTAAGGTTAACTTTACACCAATCTGTTTAAAATAATTGTCGTAAAAGCTCGAAATAAATTCTTCTTATACACAAACAAATTCAATAAATGTTTCCCACAAGACAACTACACAGGCCAATATATTATCCATTGATGTATCCATTGAAATATCAAGAAGCGTAAGTGTTTGTGCGTTGACACGTGTAATAATGGGGATCCTCACGGAACTCTAGCGCAAGCTTTCGGTTAAATATTCGCCAAAGGTTTCTGGCATGAAATAAACATTACCGCACCATACAAACGAATTTTGCTCTCACCCTTGCTGCCGTAGACCTTGACGCGTCGGATGAAGGTGGTGCCGTGCTGCAAATCCAGCACTTCACCCTGCACCTTCTCCGCCGCCATGTCCACCAGCGCCAACTCGGTGCACAGCCCCTGTGCAAACGTGAACACAAGCCATGGAGAGTTGGGAACAAGGAAGTCCGAAGGTTTTGGAAATTATCGTCTGCCTAGAGCTTTTTCAAATTCAGCGAAGTGCTGCAGATACTACGAAAGCAACTTCTAAAAATATGTAATAGTAATAATAATAATAATAATAATAATAATAATAATAATAATAATAACCGCTTTATCATTGTATCCTCAATCTTGGGCAACCATTTTTCAACTGCATTATTGTGGCTACATTCTTCGCCTTAAAGGCACATAAATGTTTATCTATATCTTTGTTGATTTGCATCTTGTTTATTCTTTTTAAACGGTTTAAAAGGTTTGTTTCTCAAGGTTTATGTAATATTTTTTACACATTGTCATATTTAATAGAGATAATTGCGCGTTCATCTCTCTCCAGGATAGAACACGACTGGGCATCAGAAGAGGTATTATTATTATTATTATTATTATTATTATTATTATTATTATTATTATTATTATTATTATTATAACTCTATTAAATATGACAATATGTGAAAAATATTACATAAACTGTGAGGAGACAACCCATTCAAACCGTTTAAAAAGAATAAACAAGATGCAGATCAACAAAGATATAGATCAACAGTTATGTAGCTTAAAAGAGAAGAATGTAGCCACAATGATGCAGTAGAAAAATGTGAAAAATGGTTGGCCAAGATTGAGGACACAATGATAAAGCGGTTCTCAAACCTTATGTGGTTGATAAATATTGTTTTTGTCAGTAACAGGCAGAAACTATTGATCATATCTCAGCTTGTCCAATTCTAGCAAAGTGCGATGATACGAAAAGGGGCAATAGGGTCTGTAGTTATCTCCACGAGGAAATCTTAAACGCTCTAAAAGTTCCCAACACGTACGAGCAGTGCGAACCTAAGACTGGTTGTGGGGCTATGCACTGTGGCTGTGTACAATACTATACAATTAAATGTAAACTCACCGAATGGTAGTGACAAATAAACCGGATATTGTTATTTGGAATTTGGTAAAATTTCGTGTCTACTTGTAGGTGTAGCTGTGTCATGGGATGAGAACATCGTAACCGAGAAGGTAGATAATTGTCTTAAAACAAGAGTGTGGAAACCTAAAATAGTCGAATAGAGGGCGTAAAAACATAAGTCGTCGTACCGCAAAATCTATGTTAGTCCAATCTCCCAGGTCATTCAAAAGTGTGGGAAGTGCAAAGCATCGCGTTTTTGTGAACAGTTCACATTTTGCGCAAGTATCTACGAGTTCGGTGAATTACAGTATTTATTTTCTGATTTACACGGTTGTGTAGAGAGACTACTCTTTACTACCGTATGAATTATATTCATTCACATATATGAATATAATTTGCAAGTCAACTCTCATTATTCCTGCACCTTACAGTTATTTCGCATTATATAACGTCACTATGGCTAATGAAGCTAGAAAAAGATGCACATTCATGACGACCAGCGCATAATGCAGACATGTATGCGCATTCACAATGGCCAGCGCATAATGCAGACATGCATTTTGAAATTCTTTTTAAGCACGACGGGTTCAATTTACCCACTTCATACAAGATTAGTAGCTTCTAAAAGCATTAAGATAACTTAGAAAGCAAACTTTGGATATACAATTTAGACTATACAAAAACAAAAAAAAACACACTTTGACACAAAGTAGATCAGAAAAATTACACCAGAAGCATTTAAAGCAATTCCCACAACCGAATATTGCAATGTTTCGACAGTTGAAAAATGTACCAAACGTATATTTAAAGCATACTTCCAATAATTGTTTTTAGTGACATGGACGACTAAAAGATCAAACCCCAACAAATTTGCAAAGACCACAAAAACTGAAAGAAAAGATATTCCGTTCAATGGCTGAATGCCGAAAAAATCCACAGTTCGAAGAGAGTGGAGTGCTGACATGGCTTTAAGATATTTTCTTCCAGAATCCAAGACAGACTAACTACCTTTAACAGAAGTTTTTTTTCCGTTTGGGAAACGCCGCGTCCTATAAAAGTTTGGCCACGTTTAGGTTGTCATAAAGTTCTCTTTTCTTAGGACTAAATGCCCCAATATTTTGAATCAACATTTATCCATTTACCCCCGAAGAATGTGGACCACAATTTTGTCATCTCTACCTAAAACGCGGAGTATTCCATGTCTCCAAGGATTTCAGAGACTCGTTCGTCAGGCAGTTACACCGCGGGGCAGTGGGAAGGGTTCCCGGCTGGACGATAAAACGGCGAAAATATGGGACGGAATTATGGCGGGGCAACGAAGGACGAGCGGAACTGCGGAACGGCACAAGGCGAAACAGTGCGAACGAGACGGGCCTCGCTCGGAAAGGTTACAGAACACACGGAGAGCGCGTAATGCAGATGTCTCCATCTTCAACCTCAGGCAAACGGTCAGAGTGGATCCATCAGCAACTGAATTCCCATTTACTTCCTAAAACGCAGCCCCGGTGGCACTGCATCTGCAAATTGCACTGCACTGAAATTTATAAGTCAGTAGAATAGCGTCAAATGCGTGTCTCGGTGGGAGAGTGATTAGCTCACGGGCTTCTGAATCTCCAGGGCGTGAGCTCTCTCCCGGATGAGATGCGTGGATTTTCGAAGGGCGGAAAATTCCACTGTAATCATGAGATACTCGTTGTACGTAAAAGAACACGTGCCCGAACACGTGCCTGGCAAAATTAAAATCCTTTCGGCAATTTCACGTTCTCCAGCATTTCCTAACGATATCTCACGTTCTCCCTAACAGACAGCTCGGATATAGTTGAGATTCAGTCGATTAAAAGGACGCCTACAGGGAGTGCCTGCCCGAAGGTCTCCTAGACCCGCACCGGGGAAACTTCAAAAGAAGCTGGGTCGAATACACAGACGCGGAACTATGGTCAGTGTCCTCGCCAAAGAACCCATACGATTAATAAATAAGTATTAAATGAACTTGATTTACTCAGCCAAACTTCAACGGACGGACGTAGGACTTATTTCGTCGTTTAGGAATGAGAAATCGTGTGGAAGGTCTCCGATTTCGGAAGATCCCCGATCTCCAATTCAAGGTACAACAGGCACATCAGCAGTAAATTATAATACACATGTTTTTAGAAGAAATTGTGACACATGTTGCTGATACTTCCTGCAAAATATGAACCTAATCTCACTACCGCAACAGGATTTTTTGTCCATGTTGCAAATACGAAATAATTTGAAGACGGATTTCTTCAAATATAATTGAAAGGCTGAGCGCAACAGAGGTCTAACACTCTCTGATGTTGAAATTGAGTTAACTGCGCAATCTGTTTTCATTAACCATGAACTACGCAGCAGAGACAATAAATATTGAATAAAGTAAGTATTTGGGTATTTGTAGCACTGCCAGTTATTGTTCCCAAAATAATTGTAAATAACTTCTAGCGCAACAGTAGTCTAACCCAATTTGACCAATTAGAATTGGCTTATAAAGTCACGTGCACATATAACCAGTTCACTGAAGGAGATAAGGTTGCCGTGAATTTCAGTAAAATTTCATATCTGAAACTTACTAAGGATCATCCATGGAAATATTTCTATATTCACTATCACAAGTAAATACCACTAAGAGCAAAACTCGTAGAGAGAAGCACACTTTTGATCTCGCACAAATTATTCTTCCTGTAAAATACAAATCTCCAAAGTCAATCAAAGCCAATAAATTGAAAGATATCAAAGAACTTTTAAAAATATGTTCCAACCGTATATCATCATTTCTTCAACAGTCTCTCATCCGAAACTAATGAAGGAAGACCATGACCACGAAGATGATTATTTCTTTGACATACCTGATAACGTATGTTCACAATGTAATGGTAATTCTTTTTTCTTAATATTTTATTTCTTATATATACCAATATGGTCATGATGTACGAGGATTGCACCAAGCTGCTTATGTTCAAACAATAATTTTTATAACATTTATTTTCAATAATTTCCTACAAATATGATATTTTTTTAATTTCTCTAATATTAAATTTGTATAAATGTACATGTCTGTAAATTTCGAGGATTATTTTTGTGTTGTTCTAAAATAAAAAAATGATTTTTCGCTATCAGTGTTGGAGTTCTGAGCAACACATTTTATGTGTCAAGCAATAGAATTTAATTAATTTTACCCTTTTCAGTTAATCTTTTGACAGTTTTTCTTGTATGGCAAAGAATATTTATTTTCAAAGAAAGTACTGATTAAAATAAAATGAATGTAAAAGAAAAATGTAAAAAACTGGAGCATGTCAGCTTTGACGTACAATATCTCAGATTCTAATGAAGGAGGGTTAGACGGCTGTTGCGCTCGACCTTTCAATTTTATGGTCTTGATGTATACTAATCCTTAATGAATATACAGTAGAGTCGCGGTAATTCGAGCCTCGCCAATTCGAGATTCCGTGTAATCCGAGAGGGAAAAAGGCCTGATGTGCGCCACGTCACCCAAACAAGCAAACGAGCGGTGAAATTGTAAAGCTGGCTCTTGACGGGTTGGCAACACTGCGTTGAAGATCAAGTTTGCAGCGGTCGGTGCCTGTGTCAGTCTGCTACATAGTTGTGACCGGTTCGCGCTCTTTTGTTTTGTTCATTGTACAGTGCGTTACTACAGAACGCCTGCTGTAATTTGAAACATAATGGATGGATGTATATGTAACTATATTAGTATCTGCAAATAGTTTTTTCTAACCTGAGGTACCATCAACCCCAATTACCTCGGATTATCGTGACTATACTGTATTTTATATAACATTGAGGGTTGTATGTGGTTGTCATACGTGAACTACCATAAACTACTCCCCAACAATGATAGATGTTCCTTACGTTACTAGGTATATATATCTAAGTTCTGGCAAACGTATGCATTAAAGTTTGGCATATATCTGTATTTTTCAATACATATTTCAAAATTTAATGTCAGACACGTAATATTGCGAGAAAAATAACTGCAATGGCTTTTTAAGTAACTTTCGTACATGCTAATACTTGTAGGACTACTCTTTTGGTCCATGATCACCAGTATATACAAAAATCCCATCCTACAAAAAATATTTTACGGATATATATAATAAACGGATTTTTCCTTCTATAGTTATGCATTTCTTCAGTCTCAAAAACTACCTTGGATCTACGCAATATCTTTCTCTCGATTTACTTTATTAGTGATAAAAATTCTAATATAACTTGTAGCTGCTATTTTCATCTCGGACTATCAAATCTAGATACATTTGGCAAATGCAAACTTACGATATTGCAGCTGCTTTTCCTTTTTTCGGCATTCTTGAAATTGATACCATTTGAACTATATAAAATATGTCATCGAATCTCTTTTTCGTGAGGTGTAAACTTTCATACACAGAAGTTGTTAACTACACTGCAAAATACGCATTACACTTAAACATCAATACAAAGTTGCGAGCACGGGTGTATGAACAACCACTTTTGTTAGCAGCCCGTTCAGCAGTTGCGACTGTTGCGGGAATCGATGTACAACGAGACGCGTTTTTTCAGCCCGTGGTGTCGAACGCTGCACCCTGCGGCGCGGAAGCAGGGCGGGGAGGGGCGGGGCGCGAGCCGACGCGCTGCGCTTTTTACACCACTCCGCAAGGTAAAGTGCCCGGGGAGCGGCGGGCAGAGATGTAGCCTGTCAGTGGCAACGTATGTACCGACCGGCGTGGCGGGAGCGTACGTACTCGCGAGCTGTATAGGCCGGAGAGGGAAGGGGCGGGGCGGGGCGTGGGTGTCGCCGTGGCCGGTAGCGGCAGCGGGCAGGCCGTGTTGCCGGCGCCGCGGGGCTCCATAAAGCCGATGTAATGCGAGCTGCCGGACGTGTTACGGGCGCGCGCCCCGCCACACACCTGACGCGGCTACACGGCGGAAACACGCCGCCCCCTGCCCTCGCCCTCGAACTCGCGCTCCCCCACACGAGTGCTGACCACCACCACCACTGCCCCCGTACCGCACCCACATCTCCGACTGTCGCCTAGGCCGTACCTCCGCTGAGCTCCACCTCCGCCTTCTCTCCGCACTTTGCCCGCCCCCGCCAACACCACCATCTTCTCACTGTCCCTCCCCACACGTCTGAAAAACCATCTCCGTCCCCCTTAGCGCCCTCCCTGACCCCACCGTCCCCGCCGCCCTCACCGTCACTCCCAGTAACTCCACCTTCAGTCGAACTTCCGCCCCCCCCCCACTGACGCCTGTCGATACTCGACCATCTCCTCCTGTCTCTGGCCTGCTTGCCTTACAGCGATGTAACATAGGGTGAATGAGGCTACAGACTCCTGTAACGGAAGCACCACGCGTAGTCACTAAATTACCGAGAACTCTCTCGTGTTTCAATGCACTCGGGTACACTGTCAGACCCACGGAAAATGACTAAGAGTAAAAGGAAGAAAATATGGGAAAATGAGAATCAATTCAGGTGTGATATTGACCAAATCTCTGTGAAGTTTCGTTTGAACGAAAGTATCCGACGTTATCAGATGACAGAAATTGGTTTTAAAACGCGACTCACAACTGTAATGAACCAGCTTCCTCGGTAATGAGATGCGAATCTTATCAGCACAGTGCACAAGATGTGCGAATCGGTGATTTCAACTCTTTCAGTTCAGAATTCAATTCCTCATTCTCTGGTTACGCACCACGAACCATGTCACAGGCTCCGCCCTACCTCCCTCCCTTTACGGAATCTCTTTATCCTTATTATTGAGAAGCATTTCTTGTTTTAATGAACTGTCTTCGGATAGTCGCCACACCAATGTTCAATCAAAGTATATAATTCAGAAATAACACAAGACAAATCGCGTATCATTCCGATACTTATTACCAAATGCTGCTTTTCTGAAAGAGGATAATGACATGGGATATGAAAGTAATCGGTTTCAAAACTGCTTTAAAAACTAGACTACAATTCATATTTCTGAATTACAAAAGTCGCATATTTTTTTCTTATTAACTACTTCGCTGTCTTAGAATGAACGGCTAAGTATTATTTAATTATAATGACAGCTCTCATCGCATATTCAAAAGAATAAGTAACTCTTGTACTCGCATTTCTGAACGTCCAAGCCGTAGTTTAGACTCTGCAATAACAAGTGATTAAGGTAGTTGGTCAGAGTGACTTTTAAGATAACTAGTAGAACTAGAGGAATAAAGTCCCAGACTCAGTATTGAAATCGATGGCATTTGTATACAGATAAACCGTGAGGGACCTTTCCCAGCCGTATGTCACAATAAACTCATCTGAGTATCTGAAAGGAGGTTCGTGAGTTCAGTCTCTCTTCCCAGTATTTTCTTCCATCCCACCTCGAGCCTCTGCTATCAATATTCAAGGACATATTTGCACCGATAGACATAATAAGTATTTGAGCACTTCCAAAGAATACCGTATTCCACTTCGGATTTGTGTTTGTTTTGGATACATAGGTTGACTAAACCCAATTCATCTTCATCTGAGAAACGAATATCACAATCAAAACGAATGAAATGCTGCTCTCATGATATTTTCCGCTACGAAAGCGTAAATGGGAAGACCCGTGGTGTGGTCAGACTTCTCGAACTGCCACCTCTGGATACTGAGGTTCAAACTTCGGTCAATCCAGGTGGAATTTGTGAAGGACAAAGCGAGTTCGTAAAATGTTTTAACAACGTTCTCCAATTTCTTCCGCATCTCATTTCATCGTTCATATAATACTATCAAAATCATCAATCCATCAAAAACATTCGTTCACTGAAAGTGTAGCACTAAGTATAGAAATTAGCATCGTTATCAAAATATAAATATTGCTCTTAAATGGTGATAGACGGCTAAAGTTAGGAGTGCCCTTATAGAGCGCAGATATCCCAGTCATGAATGACGATCACGCTGTTTGAATGACGATGAACGAATCATCTCAGGATTTCATCCAGTTAATATTGGTATTACCTACGCTAAATATGACCGCCCGAGTGTGAGACATCGTGAGAGTGAGACATCGTGAGAGCCCAAGTGTGAGAAGTATTTTGAAACAGAAGTGCGTTGGAAATTGTACGTTGCACAGCCCCAAGCTTGTTTTTATTTAAATCGTGAAATATGTACCTTAGCGCCAGAGGCAGTACATTGATGTTTCGTTTGATTGTAGCGTGTACAAATAAATTTACGATTGACACAGGATCTCGCAACTACATGCTTTAGCTCTCACTGGCATTAGAAATTTCCCACTATCGGAGTGATCCGTATTTTTAATGTACGTGCTATTTCTTGTCACTAAAACGTATTTCTCATTTTGTAACCGTTTGTGTTGGCTAATGTTAACTTCTAAAGCCCGAAGTACGTTTCGAACGTTCTTTCTTCGGACTTCATTCACGTGTTTCGCACAACGTACACATTCTCCGACTTATTCGCACATAATATGTACGAGTCATATTTATATTTACTATTTTCAATTCGCTGAAATTGAAACTAAGCAGTCTTCTGCCATGTGAGATGATCCCAGGATCTCGGGAAAAGTACAAAAAACACGTATTTATATTACTAGTTTCCAATGCGCGCATAAATTGAAAGAAACGATGCAGCTTCCGTCTTTTGAGTGCTGACCGTGGTTTTGTTAAATTGGACCCCAGAATTATCCAACATTGAAACAGTTTCGAATGTGACTGAAAATGAAAATATTTGATTATGGTACACCGCCGATTCTCATACTGCGCAACCGTATGTAAATCGAAGACTAAATAATCCCTTCATATTTTCTCACGAAACTTACAATCTAAGTTTACATGTAAATTGCGGACCAAACTAACTCAGGTCAGGAAAAGGACACGTTGATCAAATAAGCGCGTTGCTGCCCAGTTTGTGCTTGTGCCTTATTGAAAATCTTCCACACTCGCTCTTATATCAAAATGAAAAGCAAAGAAAGTAATAGAGTGTCCAAATTTCATGTTTAGAAGCATTTCATTTTCACGAATTATGTAAAATAAGCATAATTCATTCAATAAATGAATGAAACAATTGAACAAAAACCAACCTTAAGCTAACCATATTTTGAAAGAAACACGCCAGACCGAAGTCTGGAAAAGGCGAAGTGGTGTAAGAAGGGAATTGTGTTTTAAAAATAACGGCTAAGAAAATATTATTCGAAAATAAAGTGTCACCATCCACTCTTACCTGGAAGGGGTGAGGTAGTCGGTCCTCAATTTACGTATGTCCTTCTCTGGGTCGGTCCTCAATTGTATGTGGATCAAACTCATTTTCCTTCTGGTCCCCAATTTACATGCGCCGTTTTGGGCGAACTGACTTAATTCTCACACTTTTCGGAAAACCATTTTGTGTGGTTTTGTTCAGCAGCATTTTTGCGACTGCAGGCCACTGGTAGCGTATACAAGCGTAACGAGCCTCACTTCTACTCCAACAGCGCATTGCCTGTCCTGCCTCATTGTCGGGTGCGTCGCCCCCGGAGGTGCGGCGTCGTGAACGTGGCTGCGCGGACGCCTGGGGGAGCGCCGTTGCCGGCCATTAGGCCGCCTGACGGATGGCCGCCATTTCTCTCGCGGTGCGTGCGTGGGCTTCTGCGCGCGATGGGAACCTGTGCGCACCGGCGGCGCTGCGACGCGCAGTCTCCTACCTGGAGGCCTTCCAGTTTAGCTGACTACAATTGGATCAGCAAACTGGACATTGCTTTGTCGAATTCGATTGTAATTATGTAATTCCTCGGTGGAAGTTAATATCGATATTACTTTTTCACATCTTTCATATAAATTCCATTCCAGTTTAACATAATATTTGGTTAAAACGTATCATATTACCTCGATTGTTCATGTCCCTAAAGATGTGAACTTCTCGAATTCCCCTCGAAAGAAAATATACATTCTGTTTCAACTAATACAGACATTTAGCTAGAGGGAAAATAAGGAACCAAAGATAAGACCTCGTGATGAAAGATGAATTAACTTAATGTTCTGCTATCAATCACGGTTTTGTTTTCGCACATGCAATTTTAGGTGAAATAATTTTACTTTTGAAGTATAAAATATATAATAAATTCATGAATTTCATACCTCGCTGAGATGAACTCGTTACAAAATTTCATATCTGGGTTTTGTGACGTTTAGTAAAAAGATATCCTTTTGGTCTTGAATTATCTTATACTGAAAACTTTCGAACTCCCAGCTACAGATCATTCTGTTTATGGCATTGCCTCCGCAGAATTCAATCGGCAACATCTCCTGGTTTCTATAAACTTTGCGCCTTTTTTACTGCTTATATAATTATTTAATAATTCGAAAACACAAAGAACCCTCCTACAATTATCTTAATTACAAAGAATGTTTCTATTAACTCGACGTCATTTATTACACAGTTTGCAAAAAGAATTACAATGCACCGACCATAGTATGAAAAGGTACACTTTGTAGGCTCAGAACATTGAAAATAAAGTGAATATATACAAAAGAAACAAAAAATTACTGACTTTCGTTATTTATAATTCTAGTTTTTACACTGTTTCTTTGTTTATTCTTAGTTTCGTATCCCGCCTTATTTCATGATTAGAACATTATGATTTTTTGAACACCGTAAGATATTATATAATTATCCCGTAAGATTAAATATTCTGAACATGATTAGTAAATCATAGAATAGAATTTCACTAATATTTCCGACGGTTATATGTTACTTCTTTGTAAATGCGTATCAAAAGTTTTTCAAGAAGTTAGAAAGTTTCTGAAACATTAAAAACAACACTGTGAAAGACGTGAAATAAATAAAATTTTTCTCTTACTAAAGAAATAGGGGATGTTCTCTTTTTTCTGGGGTATAAGTTGTAGCTTGTGTAGTCTATTAACTAACTAATCCCGTGTCTATGTTCTGCCCTACTTGTATTCATATAAATCCTGTGCTGCACCTCAGGCAAACGCATCTTAGCCGCTCGCGATGCCAGTCTTTTGTCGACAGCCGTCCAACTGGGTGCTCGGAATGTGCAACCTCATACGCTGGGAGTTTGCGAAGGAAGGTTGAACTGCTTTAACGGCAACGTTCGCCATCGTTTCGATTTATTTCTGGATGCAAACGAATCGGTAGATTGAACTTGGGATCGTCGAGGAACGTAAATTACTAATTACTGAAACGACCTCATTGCTCCAAGAACGTAATTAATTCAAGAAGTTATTAAGGACCGCCTAAATAAGCTCGTGGCCGGCAATTTCCCATCAAGCGTCTCCAACCACCTACCATCTCTAATGCCAGCGAACACAACAGAAGGGAAAAATCCATAAAGTAGCTTCTGCGCTATACGTATTACTTCCACAAACAAGCTATGAATCTAAATTTTACTTTATTTTGATTGATCACTTTTTATTTTCTACAAACTTTCTATCAGTGAATATTTGTATGTAACTGCACAAATCATAAGCAAATCATTAACGTCCTGTTTAAGGGAAAACAAAAGTTTTCTCATAAAATTATAAAACATGATATACACATAATGTGATTTGTTTCTTGATTAATATTTTCATTTTTATCTTTCCGGTTATTTCTTTTTGGCGTTCTACTATGTATGTATATTTCTGTTTCCTTACTCACCATATGAGACAATATTGCAACAGAAAATATTAATTGTTAAAATAATGGAAAACATGAAGCCAGTCTTTTTGCATCACCGGTTCTTAGAAAGTGAAGAAAAACAATTTGTTAGGAGTTACATCAGCACGTACAGGAATAAGGAACTCAATTTTGCATAGTCAATAAACCACAGTAAACATTATTCTGTATTGAATATTTTATCTTTTTAGGATTTTAAATATTAAAGGCGATCCAAAAACAATGCATTCGACAAAAAATTCCAATCGAATCCATACACATTTTTATTTATTTAATTTTCGAGAAACAGATTGGAAAATTAAAATTCATTTTGATATGAAAGGCAAGTGATATGGAAAAATCTACAACACTTTTTAAAAAGATAAACTTTCTTTTTCAGGTTACAAAAACGGCCGACATTAAGGTAATCCCGACTTTTGAAGGGTGTTTTTTTAACTTTAAATTTTCAAATTCTCAAGTGTACTTCATGCATTCATATTCCACTATTTCTTTTCCCATTTTCTTGGCTTACTGTAAGAAGGTCCAAAGCTAAAAGTTAGAAAGATGTTTCATAGCAAACTGCTATTCTTTGCCTCTTGTTTACTGTGTGCGGTTGAGGTGTGGTGCTTGGATGACACACGCTGTAACATGGCTATTGAAGAGTCTTTCAAGTTGCTTGTATTGTCGAGCTCCGTTATGCTTTAGTTGGGTATGCTAATGAATACGGTGAAATTGATTGTTTGCGCAGTGATTCACTGAGAGAAGCGCTCTAGTGACTCAAGGAAGACATCACTAGTCAGCACGCAACCGCTAAACATTAAGAAAGTGTGAAAACACACGTAGTACAAAAAGGTACGTTTACAAATCCATTACGAATAATCATATTCCATGAATATACTCTTCTGGCCATATACAAAAGGATATGATAGATCAAACGTCATACCAAGACTGTTCCAAAATAAACCCTCGAGTCGATTTTGGAGTATGCGAGAGTAATATATAAATATGATTTGAATTGGAAATTAATAAAAGGTTAAACGCATTAAATATGTTTTCACTTGAATTAACAATATTTGTCAAGAAAGGAAGAGATTTTATGTTTGCGAACACATGCGCATTACTTTCAAGATTTCCTTGCACTGCTTGAAACAATTATTTTTGTTTGGAATTATTATACTCGTACATGCGTACTGGACATTGGTCGCAAATATAAGTGTATCATGAACATTTCGCCTTCATAACAAACTATCTGTTCACTTCCGAACAAATTTTTCTAACAATTAAATGAAAGTAGATAGAAATATGAAAGTAAGTGTAGAAAAAATAAAAATAACAAAAATACTAGTTGATCAATATAATTTCTATTAGCTTCCAAATATTTTTGACCTGCCGTATCTTTGGTAAACAATGCAGCAGACTTCTGAAAACTTACACAATTAATAAATAAAAACAAAATCTCCAAATCAAATTATTTTTTTACTTCTAGTCTACATACCCATTTTCGAAAATAAATTACTCATAGAGATGGAATATGAAAATGTAAATTAAGCCCTCTGTATGGAATTATAAATCTAAAATATCAATCTATGTTCTTATTAACACATACAAATTACGTACCACATACAAATGAACTTGTCACGTTGTTTGGTATGTCATTCAAACTGGTGAATATAAAAAAAAGGAAATGCATAGATTAAATTTTGTATATTCAAAGCACAAAAATAATTGGCGGAGTACACGCCGTGCTCTCTGGAGCGTTTCAACATCTATGATCTTCTGCCAGTGAAAAAGAATTACATATTTGTATGGCATGATCCCTACTTTGACCGTGTTGCATTCTCGAATAGATTTCTTTTATATCGGCAACCCGTGGTCCGGAGGCCATATGCAGCCGGTGAAGCTACCTCAAGCGTCATGCAAACGGTGTAATTACTCTTTTGCCTACTAACAAAAGCTTCAAAATTTAATTTGTCTATGGTGTTTTTCTCAAATATTTATACATTACTGTCAATGTACATTTATATATATATATATATATATATATATATATATATATATATATACAAGTGTGTACGTCTGATTTTGTTGCGTTATGGTTTTCTTACACAAAATTGTGTGTTAAAAACCCTGATGTGTTTCTGCACTGAAGTATTATAAGTGAACATTCCAAACTTGTTTTCAACAGTATTAATAACATACAATTATTGAATTGTAACTAATTTTTTAACTTGAACAAAAACTAGGTAGGAAATATATGTAGTCCGCTACACTACGTAGATATGTTAGCTCGTGACATAGTTAAACTTCCCATAACATGTATGAAAATGTTGCTGATCCCTACTTAAGGTGATTAAACTATTTTTTTGGAACAGCAACACAATATTATAATCAGATTGCTTTTCATCAGTGTGTATTACACAAGCTATAAATTTCCAACTCTTGACATTGTGTTTTGTGTTTTAAGAAATTAAAAGAAAATACTAAAAAATAATTCAGAAAGCCCTAAAAGAATGGAAAAGAAAGTGCAGAAGCATGGGTGTGAAAATAGGTGATGAAACATTGTTTAGTCTACTATTTGCAGACGACCAGGTGATAATGGCTGAAGATGAAGATGAAAAAGGAACAACAAAAAGAAAGAAAGAGTGAAAAGGAGAAAGAAAGAAAGAAAGAAAAAAGAAAGAAAGAAAAAGGGAGAATGAGAAAGGGAGTAAGAAAGAAAGAAAGAAAGAAGGAAAAGAAAGAGATGAATGAAGAGGATGCCTTACCTCGACCATGACGGAGAAGGCGCAGGCCATGCCCACGGCACCCACGCCTACCACCGTCACCTTGGCCTGGGAGACGTCCACAGGCTCCGCCTGCGTCGTCATCAGCGCCTTGCGCAGCATCCTGAGGCCGGGTCACGCGCCGCTCCTGCCACGCACAGGCATCCAATTTTAATGCAAGCCATTCCCATTGCAATACTATGGAATTCAACATTCCGCCAATCGCACAGGTGAATTTGCAGTTTCACCAATAAAACAGTTTTGGCGTGAAACTAGATAACGTAGACCGCAAATAGGCAACAACGTGACTATCTAAAGTTTAATCAACTGAAAAACCCTTCCACGTATTCCTTCAAAAGATACAATTAATAGAAATTGCTCCAAATTATAAATTCTGGAAATATCCTAATAATATCGCTTAATTTCCAGAACGATGTATCGTGTTTGTTTGCATGACCTAGTCATTTGTAATTGTCAGCATGCAGATGTGTAATTGGGTACTCGTGCGGAACTAGTTCAGCGTTAATACTAAATTGTGTCAATACAACTACCATTAGCGTGATCAATCGCAAACAATACATTACTTTCGTGAAATACTGAGATATTTCCATAACGTAACAGTACAAGTCGCTTCTGCACAGATGCATCTAGTGTCCCTTGATGCAGATGGTAACGCAACCGCCGCCATTTAATATCCACTCAACCGGCTAACCCCAACGAGCCGAATCCAGTAGATAACAAATTATAATATTGGAGGCATGATGGACATTTTCCATCGTATTAATATTGATTTTCGTCTCCCAAAATACACTATAATGCACATTCGAACTTTTCTGATAACTGAATAGCGCAAAGGAATGCACTCCTCTCAGAACCTAAAGACTTTAAAAGAGCATAGCTCATAGCTTAGTGGGCATTCTATATAGTTTCACGCCATACAAGAACTCAATTAGCTAAATCAACACAGTATTTGCATGTATTCGTGCACGTTCGCGAGCGATAAAGACTTCATAAAACGTAACAAGTTTCTTCTACGTGTAAAAACCCACACAGTGGATCGCCCTCTTCGGTTCGTCTCGAATGAGTTGGTTTCAGAACAGACCGATATCACGAACTCGGGTCTGCAGAGCGCGCGGCGCTTCGAAGGCGCCGCTGAGGACGCCAGGGCGAGGACGAGGAGGAGGACGATCGCGTCCGGCCGTGGGGCGCCGCCATGGACTGTGCGCCGCCTAATCTATCGCTACAATTATTCCGTGATTTATGCCGTCGAAAACATCTTAATTGGGCGCAGTTGGGCGCTGCGCGGCTGCTCGCAGCCGCCGCCAGGGGCGTGGCGTTCGCTCGTAAACCTCTCCCACACTCCCTATTTATCCGTTGACGGCGGCTAAGTTATAAGGGAGGAAAAATTATTCCTGCGTTTCGCGTGTACCCCCTATTTCAGCGGGGCGGGGTGACAGCACAGGCGGGCGGCGGCCGGTTTATCTGCGCGCCTCTGCGAGGGAGAGGGGGGAGGAAGAAGACCGCTGCCACAAATGAACCTCAACGCGCTGCCTCGCGATAAATCACACATTCCGTTTTATTACCTTAATTGAGCTGATACCACCAAATTAACGATCTGTTCAAAAATTATTTATTTTTCATTATAATAAAGTTAATACATTCGTATATTTATAATTATTATTATACTTTTCGAAATCCACATATATATCAAATTAAATAGTCTATCAAATCCACTTATAGAAAATTTCGTTTTCCCCTTTCCATTGTCGTGGACCAAATGTCTACTAGATCAAATAATATGAGTATTAAGACAATCGAAAAACTTATTTTGTTAGATATTTCTTATTTAGTCGCTAGGATAAACGTTTTTTATTTTAATTTATTCTAGCTTGGTCATTAAGGATAAACTTTGTCAGAGCTTCTAACTTCTATGGAACGGGAATAACGCATATAACTTTTTTTTTGAACAAAGAAGTTTCATTGATAACGTAACGCAGATCACATATTTCTAGCTTTCAAACCCACGACTTCGCCACTCCATGTATATATCAGCAGTATTTCATTAACCTTCTCTTCCAGTGTACCTCGCATTTGGTAAAACATAAGTTCTGATCCCTCTACACTTTCCTGGGGGACTAACTGGCCCCTCCCTTCTTGTTCGCCTTGGAAACCACTTCTAAGGTGCTAGGGCATTCACGGCTGGCAGGCGCAGGGGTCAGTGATGGTGAATTCACTGGTGAATGAATCGTAGGCTGTCATGCATACGAACTTCACAACAAGTTATATTTCACACATTTGCAACTCCTCACTAGCAACATTGCGAAAAAACTGGGTGCGAGGGAAGATAACTGAAAAGTTTACTTTCGTCTTGTAATAAATAAAACTGATTTTTAGACAGCATTCATATAACACATTTGAATAAAATAATCTTGAACAAACATGTATGAATGTAAAATTACTTTGCAGTTATATGTGTTTTATAATGAATTTGGTATTTCTAGGTAGATCGTACATATGACTAGATCGTATAATGCCTCGGTAGAGCGTATTGTATATCGCATATATGGCTGTGGCTATGAAATCTCCCAAAAAAGGTAATATAACGCCACCCACATTGGCGTTTCAAATTTTCGACTTTAAGAATCTTATACGTAAGAAATTTTCGACTCAATAGAAGAGAACGTCATTTATGAATATGTTACAGAAGAGTTTGAAAGAAATATTTTGATATGAAATGAATGAACAAAATCAACCATACAGCAGATGACGCAATGAATTGATAGACGCAATGAATTTTATTCCGAGATCTAAGAATAAACATTGTAAACATTATTCATGTCGATAATTACGTTCTAATGTCATTTAGTGTGGTTACCCCAGAAATATATTATGACAACTTATTAAATTCCGGACAAACTCCATTGGTTTGTAATAGTTCAGATCTCACCAACGGAGAAAAAACGCAGATGTGAGTGGCCAATCAAGCATATTCTATAGCTAATATTACGGGAATAAAAAAATAGCGAAATATCGCAGTTTCCTGGGAAGACACTTGGGAAAAATTGGGAACGGAGATAAAGGTTTGTACCAATAAAAACCTGAGATTTGATCAAACACCTGAAATCTTACGCTCTGATGTGTATATCAGTTGCAGAAAAGCGAACTTGTGCCATCTAGCGTAGGAACTTTAGGTTCTTCTTCGGCATCTTATGAGACACGACAACATGCACATTAGGCTTACCCACTTCACTCTATACGTACATTACATTTTCTCCATAATTGTATTATCTTGAGTGCACGCTGATATACTTATGCAAACTCCGGAGTAACTTTGTTGACAAAAAAGCGTCTCAAAAATTCTTCGATTTGCTCACATCCCCGTAAATGTATTTCGTGGGACCGCTGCCTCAACGCTCTTTATGGAGAACGATGTCACCCACTATAGTGCAGTTTGAATTTCAACAAAGGTTCGTCAACCGACGAAGAGATTCGAGACGCCCGCATGCGAGTCTTTGGAGCTTCTCGAGGCCCCAGGGAGAACGCAGCTGGAGCGAGGCGGTCGCTCGCCGCAAGGGTCTGCGCGACAACGGAGAAGCCCCGCGTCTCTCTGTTGGCCACCACCGCGACACATTGGCGCGCTGTCATCCATTACATCGAATACCTGGCGCGGAGCGGGGGTGCCTGCGGCGGGGTGCGGGCTGAGCCAGGGAGGAATGAGGGGGGGGTGGCGGTGTGGGCTCGTTCTCCGACTCCAGCGCATCGCGACCCAGAGACATCAAAGGTTGAGAGGTGGATGAAATTGTAGGCCACTATTTCTCAACGGGGTCGGTATCGACCTCCTGAGGGCCGACGAAATTTTGAAGGGAGTCACTAATGATCAAAGGATATATCGGGGGTCGATAACCGAATATGCACCCACAATTGGTATGTGTAATCAAGATCCTATTGAATACAAAATAATATAAATGAAGTTACAATTTTTCATTATACCAGTATAAATGTTTAGAACATATAGTTATATTAGTTTATAAAATTTGAAAATAATAATAGTACAAAAGCAATCAAATCTAATAAAGCATTTTTTTCACAACTTTTTATCATATTCATTGTCTGTGTAATTCTTTTCAAGACATATATTGCAATTATGGGCAATTATTTGCGTTATAATAATTTTGCATACTGTGTATGATAGAAAAACTAAAGTCAAAGGGGTCGACGAAGCAACTTAAAAGGGGTCGATGTAAGGAAAAATTTGGCTATCCCTGCTGTACGAGTAGGCTAAACACGTTTTTGAAAGCTGAATTGTGTATTATTAATTGCGGATTATAATTATTTTATTTTATATTATTAATTTTTGCATTGTTTATAAACCTCCATGACATCGCTGAATAATTGTGAAGGTGCTACGAATACGCTAAAAAATAGTAACAATATTGCCTATAATTTGCACCATGAGTGAGTTACATTAGCATTTGGAGCTTCAACTAGTTGGCAGTATCTATTGCAGGGCAATGAATAGCGATGACGACTCCAAAGGATTCTTGAAGCACATTTTAAGAACAAATAAGGTGAAGCGAGTGAATATACCAGTCACGTACAAAACTCTTGAGAATATGTAAGTAGACCTATGGAGCGCACCGCTCAATGGTTCACCAAAAGCAGCTGTCACACATTTGGATTAGTGTATTGAGACACCTTGTTTGTCAATGTCAAAAGAACGAGAGAGTTTGTGCGTAAGTTCAAATAGAAGTGAATGTATTACAAAGAGAAATGTTATAAGTGACTTTTGAACTTTAATATTCAGAAGTTCATGCTCTTTACGCCACCAGGGCTCCGAATAACATTTCCTTTATATGTAGTATGCTAAGAAAACTTTCCTAAATAAACGTTTGTGCTATTTATAAAAGACCACCGACATAAAATCACGTAAGCGTTCTACTCCTGGTAAGGGAAATACCTGTCAGGTCAGTATCAAACAAATGTGTGGCTAAAAAGATTGGAAGTTTGGAGATGATGATAAAGAGAGGCAATCAGAAGCAAATGTAATCCGCACTACACGTTACGTCGCAACACACATTTCCATGGTGTTCCATATCGATGCATCATGCATAAAACGGAAACAA